TAATGCTTTCTGAACCACTCATTCACGATTTCTCCTCAGCGAATCCAAATTCGGGGGGTAAAACAAACCACAACTTGACGTAGAACTGTTTTCATGGGTGACAGTCGTGCGTTTGGCCCATTTTTGCACAACCTGCTGGATTTGTTTACTTTTTTGCTTTTATCTTACCTGATAGCCTAAAGGCTTTCGGGTAGAAAGCCCCGAAGGCTAACTTCCCCCGCTATTAGCGTCAGTCAATCCTACCTCCAAATACCGGTACATCATTTCACTGGCTTGAAAAGATTTTGTAAAACTTTGCCATCCTCTGTAACTCTCTGCAGATTTCAAAAGCAGAGGATATTCAAAGTGCATAATGTAAGGCAGTATTAAACACTGGCATGTAAACCATCTAAAAGCACTTTTAAAGAAAACCGAATTATTTAAAGAAAAATAAAATGTGTCCCACAAATATTGAAATAAATATGCAGAGAATGGAGTTCAATATATCCATCCATTTTTTGCTTATCCATTCAGTGTCATTCATACTCCTGTTTAGAATCATCTAACCCTATTGACTGCATGTATTTAGATAGTGGGAAGAAGCCTGAGTACTCAGAGAGAGCCAGTGCAGATACAGGAAAAAATGTGAACTCCACACAGAAAGGCCTCAGCCAGATGGTGGATTCAAACCCAGAACCTTATTGCTGTGAGGCAACAGCCTGGAAAATGCTTGCTAAGATTTTTCTCAGCATATTGTCCAATATATTGAAGGATACGCTAATTTCCCTGTCTACAACATTTTAGTGGGATTCAAATCTGGACTTAAACCCGGCCATTCCATAACCCTCCATTTCTTCTTTCTAAGACCTTCCTTGGTGGACTTGTTAGCCTGTTTTGGATCATTATCCTAAGGTCCAGCTCCAGCTTTTGGACAGATGGCCTCACATCATCTTTAAGCAGTCTTTGATGATGCAGAATTCATGGCTAAATCAATGACTGCAAGCTGTCTGTTCCCTGAGGCAACAGAACAACTCCAAATCATAACAGCAACATGCTTCACAGTTTGTACAAAGTCCCTTTCCAGAAAAGCTGCCTTTGGTCTGCGTCAAACATGTCTGCTGTTTAAAATACTTTGGAGCTATTTTTAAATCCCATGAAAGACTCACAGGCATCAACAATGTCTTTACTCAAAGCCTTAGAGAGCTCTTCAGATCTTGGCACGATGACACCATATACCTCAGCAGCAGAGAGAACACCATGCCCTTGATGTCAGAGGTTTAAATAAGACAGGTAACTCTCTTCTAACGCGTTTACATTTCAAATACATCAACCATGCACAGGATGTATGTATTTTTTCACATTATTACCTATGTAATTCCTGTTACATTTTCTTGGGGGGGTTTTTTTGTACTTTGGCAGGAATGTTCAAAAAAGGCTTTGATGTCACTTCTGGTAGGCCAGACCATACAGTTTTCAACAGTACACCTACTTGGAAATGGGGGCAAGTTTTGAAAGTTTTAATCCAAATCTTGTTTGTTGTCGCTACCTCTAATTTTCCCATTAATTACATTTTTTTTAACCTACAGTAGACCTCTGCAAATTGTGAATCCTCTAGTTTTTTTGCCTTTTTTTGTGAAAATATTTTCATGGTTTAAAAATCCACATGTGAGAAAATCCAATTTGTTCATTTCTGGGTCATTATTTTTAGTGGAGTTTTCTCCCCTGCCCCTGGAACAGTGAAAACTGTGTAACTAGTTAAAAAGGGCATGTGGGACACCAAGCGCAGTGCTACTCTAGGGGCAACGTTCTGCAGATGACCTCATGTTCTGACATCTCTGAAAGGATTTCTCCTGTTGCAAATAAACATTGTCTCACCAAAAAGACAAAAAGAAAGAAAGAAAGAAAGAAATGTTGGAGTTGTGGTTCATATGCAGTTGAAAACAGCCCACATGCTTTCAAAGTAGACATTGAAACGAGTGCAGTGTCAGTGTGGGAGGACAGTGTTGTGCACAGGAGACAGAAGCACTTCAAGCCACAATACTTATACACGGTTTTCCATATCTGTGACATACTGAGGTTCAACACATTTCACATGAACAAGTCATCAGAGAGAAATGCTAATAGATGGAAAATGGCAAAGCTCTAATAACTTGAGTGATGACAACTATAGTTAATGTCAAATCCACTGGGTACTTGAGTTTTCTGGATAAAAAGTAAAGAAAGCAGCTTGAAAAGTTCAGATTAGTCACAGGGAGAATCATATCAATTAAAATAGTGACTCAGCTCTCCATCATGGCCAAAACATGGGAGATGTAGCATTTCACACTGAATCAAAGCACTGGGAGCACTGCTGCTGGACAGATACTTCTGACTACAGTGATCCTATAACTGAGGATGAAATTGGTAGATTGAACAGTGTGACTTAAACTTGAAAGCAACAGTTGCTTATTTAGACATCAAGCAAATATCACGCAAAACCGTCGTGCATTTGGAGTCAATCTACCTGACAAAAATACACGTCAACCTATTTATCGGCCTGCAGGGGGCTGAAGCCTGTCCAAGTTGACTCATTTGATCCAGGCTTAACATAAATAATCCTAGATCAAATAATCCAGGCTTCAGTGTGTAAAGCAGTGTTACATTAATTACAGCAGATATAAAGAAGTCATTTTAAAAAGAAACAAACCCTTTGTATAAAGATTTTTTTTTTTTAAAAACATCAAAAAATATTATAATTATACATTGCAGGAAGAATGAAAATGAATAGAAGCACAGAAGAAAACAATAGGTATGAATCCATTAATAACTTGCAGCTAATTCTGTATGCAGGTTAACAGTTTTCAAATCAGCCTTTATATAAATTATGAGCGAAATGGTTTCACTAGTAGAATAAAGTAGGTGTGGGAATACCTTCGAAATAAGGTACTAATTAGAGTTTAATTAAACTAGTACACATTCAGGTCAGGGCAGTTTTTTTTCCCCTCATAGGATGCTACACCCAACACACCCAAGAGCCAAACTTGCCCAATTTTTCCATTTCTGCTAAACCAGGGTAAGTTTATTCCCTTTACCGACAAAAACATGAGTCCTTGGCTGGCACAGGAGAGAAGAAAATTCCGAATTCGATACGTGTAGGATGTTTTCTTTGACAGAAAAGCAGATTCCAGCTGGTATTTCAAAGTTACATAAATGCAGAATGCAAAGTAGCTAAGCTTGGAAGCTGGCAGTGTTGACGAGGAGAGATTGTATGCTTCTGTATGCTGTTGTCAGTGTTTGCTGGTTGAAACCACCACCAGAGTGAATGTTATGCTTTAGTAGAAGAGGAGAAAGTTAAAGCAAGGTCTGCTGTGAAAGTATGGACCCCTGGGAAGAGCCTCCAAACAGGCAAAAACAACAAAGATCTCTGCTTTTACCTACAGGGAAACATTATTTTGCTCGGTAAATAGTGTATGTCCAGTGTGTGTGTGCGTGTGTGTGTGTGTGTGTGTGTGTGTGTAACAAATATATAGAAGGCAACTAAAATATAAGACTGCTATTTTGTGGGCTGTACTAAAACACTTTACATTTTTATCCCATTATTTCTTCCAAAATGTTTTCATTCCTTTTATTTTTGATGAATGCAGAGATATAACTGTTCATATCCTTCACAATAAGCATAACCCAAACCACTGACAGTAATGTAGGTTACATTACTACTTTAGCCACTAACCTTATAAGCCTAAACAAATGTTGAGGAGATTAAAAAGCTAGTATTTGCAGCATTGCCTCTTATATATTTTAACGCTGATATTTCAAACTGAAACAACACACTGAGCTTGCCAGTGTTTCCAAATAGAAATAAATCAATTTAGGATCCCAGAACAAAAACTGTTCAGTAATAATGCTAACAGCCCTCCTTTCCAGAGCACTGCATTTGCTAAATCCAATGGCAATATTATTGTTCTGTTCTGATAAGAGAGGAGCCTTCATGTGCAGTGTTTTGTTCTTTGTAGCTGCTGCTACACTGGAGCTGGTTAATCTATGGCTCGATGTGCTTGCTCTTGTAAAACTACTGACATACTAAACATATTGGAATATGACAATTCCGATATGTTAAAAGCCTTCAAGGTTAAATACAAAAGCTGTAGAACATTCCAACATAGACATCCTATAGTTTTTCGTTCCATGTTGGTTTTTGAGCTATGATATGCAAACTGCTCCAAAGTCTACACTTGCTGTTCTATCCATCTGTTTTGAAAGTACAGCCAGACCAACAACTTGTGTTGATTTGTTTTGGGCCAGCAAAAAAGCCAGTATTTAATGATTCTAGTGGAGTATTGGTTTGGACTTTATTATTGTTCACAGGTGGTCCTTTCTGAAGGAAATAATGTCTGAAAGTTCATTTGATGCAGTGGCTTTCTCCTTTGAACGTAAAGTTAGTGAGAATTTGGTTGGATGGGGGCATATTCCCATGGGGGCAGTGTGTGAATGTGTGGATGACTGGATATGTAAAGCGCTTTGGGGTCCTTAGGGACTAGTAAGGTGCTATATAAATACAGGCCATTTACCATTTACCATATTCGCCCAAATAATAAGCTTATCCTGAAAATAAAGCTAGACATTCATACTATGAAAGCTTAGCAGTTAAAGTGGATCTACATGCATCCATTCATTCTCTGCCAATTCTCTAATTCAGTGTTGCAGGAGGGCTGGAGCCCATCTCAGCTGCCACTGGGTAAGAAGCAGGGGAAAGGCACTCTGAAGTCAGAGTACCCAGAGAGAACCTCGCCTATACAACCAGAAAATATTTTACAAACAGTATATTTTGTAAAAGCCAGATTGCTTATTTGTTGCCAGTTAGAGGACTCTTATAACTCTCTTCTGTTTTGGACTAATTACAGTAACCAAACATGTTAAACTGTAACTTCAAATATATTTTAGTATTTCAGTTCAAATAATCACCCGTTTTTGCCCAGCTTCTGCATTTACTGTCTGTAGAAATGCTCCTTTAACTCCCTCTATTCCACTTTTATGTCAAACAGGGAGGACGCGCCACCTCCTGACAGCCGCCCCGTCAGCCGTCACACAAGCCAGAGCGCCAGTCAGCTCCCACAGGTCACTTACTGCCCGGTTGATGGCACTGAGGTGATGTCGTTGAATGAGGGACTCAGCCACACTCCTTCCAGCACCAGCCATGGACACAGGCCGGTCAAACACACACCAGCAGAGTATAACAGCAAATATGGATATGCAGTGTGACACTCAGAGCGAGCTCAATTAAAGAGAAGTTTCAGGACAGTTTGAAAACTTGAAACTGAAAATATGCAGTAGTGGCAGTCCTGCCGAGGCTTTAATTAACTAAATTCAAAGCTATGCACTGTGAGCAGTCTATGATAACATTGTTCAATGTGATTGCTTTAAGATAATCTTAGTAAAAGGAAGTTCTGTTATTTGATTGGCTTGGATATATTAGATTGTATCCTTCAACATTTAGGTGGATGTCTATAAAGCAGATCATCAAAATATGTAGCTATAAAAAAGCATTAATTCAAGAAATTCACTCTACTGTGGAATTTGGAGATTGATGTTTGGGTGTTTTGTGACACAATTTTGCAATAAAAAAAATGAAAAGAATCCAGTCTCAAATTTAAACCAAAAGAAATATTTATTCATGATAGATCTCATTTGGAAATACTCAACCATCCAAAAAATGTACACGAGTAAGTACTTATTTTTTTCTGAGGATGAACTGACAGGAGTTGAAATATTAATAGCCACATGCAATGGGTTCTTGTCCACTACAAAAAACAAAACCAAAACAAAAGAAAAAAGTGACTACAGCTGATGTCCCCCAAACCCCTTATTCCAGACAAAAAGGAGGCTTCCTGTGTGTCCCCGTTACACAGTGGTAGGACTTTGTGTTTTCCAGGGCATTTGGCCTTTGGAACAATTCACATCTTAGACGGTTACATGTTTAGAATCTAAACATTTTGGCATCCTCTGCTCCATAAGCCTTTGTGAACCAGCCAGAGCTGATGTGCTCAGTGTTTGCACTTTACTTCCAAAGGTTTTTGTTAAGTTGGTTCAAGCTGTAATGACTGACTTGTGTTTTTGTTTTTGCAAGAAAGCAGTCTTCATTATAAACATCTACATACATTCAAATTTTAGCAAAGCCTTTTTTTAATGGTTGTGTGCTGAATCAATACAATACCAAGCATGACCTCATTCACTGCTGCTGCTATTTTTAGATCACCCTGTGTGGGTCCTGTTCTATCCCCTTCCACTCTAACTCACACTAGGTCTCCCACATTGTGTCAAAATGGCAACCATTCAGCTTAAGAGTGCGCAGCCCCATGATGTCAGGAACGCATATGGCTGAACTGATGTGCTGCCTCTGGGCTTGAAAACTGCTAACTCCTGATGGGAAGTTGGGTTAGTTGGATACAGTCACATCCCTACTTTCTGCACAATTTGAGATCCATGGTAAAACTACAGAAGCAGACATTGTGAGAATAAAATTAATAAAAGCAGCAGCACTTTAAGTGGCCCACGGGTGCACAAGTACATGACCCTGAAGGAGTCCTTGATGTTTAGCGACAGAGTCAACTGCCTTTCAATGTCCGCATATATCAACATGGTAATTTTTTGGAAAATGAGAAGACTGAAGTGAAAGCCTTTCATTAAACTGTAGACCGTGTTCCATAACAACTGAACCCTTTAAAAGAAAGAATTGCCAAGGTCAAATATTTCAAAAAATATTAATACCTGTAAAATACTAGATTCAGAAAGCTGCCTGGTACATTTGTGCTGTCAATAGAAAAACTGATGCCAGCACACTGTGGTGTAAATAGCTATAAATCGTGTATGGCAGGAAGAAATGAGTGGAAATAAATGGAAACACTAAGCACCGCAACCCTAGAAAATCACAAAGCGATTAAGTACATCTTCTGTGGTTTAACGTCTATAGCACACACAGTTTTTCTTCAGATTAAAACACTGATATTAGTCTGCACAACACGAAAATAATTTTCACACAGGAACATTTAAATTAAGGGGGATACAATCCCATCACCTGATCAACTCTTTAGAAAACAGTAAGGCAAGGTAGAAAAATCACAAATCAATTAAATCCTGTGCAGACACTGAAATACAGCTAAATTTGGCTTTAAATAATAATAATGATAATAAAAAAAATTCTTGGTCCAGTTTAAAAAAGAAAGAAAGAAAAGAAGCATGATTCTGTGCAAGAAAAATCACATGAAAGTTTTCCCTTTCGTATCCATCTGACTGACGACTGACTTGTAGACTGTGTATGGCGTTGTGTTGGCTATAAAAAAAAAGAAAAAAGAAAAACACATCCAGTGAGTTCATCCAGTGGCCATTTAGGACATAAATGCCTCACCATCTTGTTTTCGGGGGCTCAAGCTCCTCTTTTAGTGAAGTATTTTTGAGCATGGCAATGTTCTTGAGTGGCTGAAGTTGAGGTTCAGTAAGCAACACCCATTCTTCAAAGGCACCATACTGTACATTGGTCTGTGTGTGCGTGCGTGTGCGTGTTTATGTGGGCCACATGTGAGCACATGCATACATGGAGAAGTAAAATCAGTCAACAAAGTCGATTCCCTCCACTGGTGTCAGCCCACAAGGCATCACCATGACAACTAAGGCAAAATCTTTCAACATAAAAAAAACACAGCATCTTTTTTTTTTTCCTTATTTTAGGTTTTCGGATCAGATTCTTTGCTTAAAATCAACTCCCCACAATAATCATTAGTAATGATGATAATCTCTATTCAATAAATTATCTATACTGTACAATTATTTCACCTCGCGTAGACCTGCAAAAAAAGGGGAGCCTTTTTTTTTTCAAAGTAAAGCTATCAGCAGTCAGTTTCTGCTGTGTCCTCAGTCCTCAGTAAAGTCTCTGCAGAGCACACAGAGGCTGACAGACAGCAAGCCATGTTTTCCTTTTTTCCCCTGTACAGAAATTAAACAGGACATCCAGCAAAGACAAAAGCTGATGCATAATTGAAGATAAACAGAGTAGAAACACTCGCTGAAAAATGAGTATCCAGCAAAACAACAAAAAAAGTTCTTTGTTGGTTTTTTTGTTTTGTTTTTTTCCCCTTGTGTTATTTTCCTGGAGAGACTGAGTAATTTTCTCTGAGAACAGTAGATAGAAGATGGTTCCTGATTTAAAGGGAGCCAGACCAGCAACATCTGAGCCTTACTGCACTCCTTCTTCATCCACATAAGTTGAAGGAAACCATCCAATCTGTAACATGAAACAGTAATTATCAGACACACACAGTATTTTACATCAACCAGTATAAACAAAAGACGTTAATTGGGTTCATTTATATGCTTTTTTTGTTTTGTTTACATGCCGTGAATCCATTGGATGTGCACCACGACTACATTAGGCCGAGAGCTCTCGGAGCTCTTTCCTCTATATTATTTTGGCAGAAGATGTGCGCTATTTTCCGATAACTGCACAGCTCAGCAGCAGCCTTGCCTCTGTTCTGAAAAAATACTTGAAGACTACTTCAAATGCTACTTCAGCTGTTGCTAGGCTACGACTTCTCCTACTTGTTAGAATTGTAAAGCATGTACTGAACTAACAGAGATAATAGAAACACAAAGGTTGTATTTACAGCAACACAAAGACATCCATTAATACCTGTTGAGGTCTGTATCTGGGTATGTTTTGTCAAAAGAAAATCTCATCCTGAGTCTCTTAATTTTCCTGAATTGGACTGGGTGTTAAAATGCTGAAATGAGGTAGTTGAAAGTAGCAGATGTCTTAATTTAAAAAGAGAAGCAATAATATTTTATGTGCTCAAGTTAAGTCGTGATTCAATTACTAGCATGTGCACTGTCCATAAACACAGATCAGCACCATGCATATTGGCTGAATTAATTGTGATGCCTGTGGTGCTCCACATGAATGTTAGGGTTGGCGTGATATGTGAAGATTTCAAAATAGTCATTTTTAATTCAACAGCAGGGGAATGCAAATATATTTGCAGGGACCACCGCATTTCATGTGCACACGTGGAATAAAACAATTCATATTTTGCCGTATTCTAGTTTGAAACCAGACAGAACCAGCTAGCCAGGAAGCTATATTAAAACAAAAAAAGCTAATAGAAACCTTTCAGCTGTAAAATGAACAAGTACTAGTAAATGATCAAAGTACAGAACCCATAATATGTAATGGGTCTTTGTGGAGAAACCACCAACCAAATGATAATCTACTTGCTGGACACAGAGTCATGTCTACACAGAACTGGGAAGTCAAGCTTTTCTTGGGTTTAACACAGCAAAGGAAGGACAATGAATACTCATCAGTTGCACTAGGTTATTCACCTAGGTCAAATCTTATTCTTATAAATATCAAGAATGTAAAAACAGACATAAATTAAACAGCAGCTCTGATGTCGTCACTAATAGCCACTACATTCAGCAAATCATCCAATTACGGTGGGTATTTCTTCATAATGTAGAAATAAATAGCATCTAATTTTGGTGAGCTTGATGTCTTTCTCATACACAGCAGCAATCAAGACACTTCAGCTCACTTCATGAAAACTTAGAGGCTTTGTCAGACTAGATTTGCAACCAGCTAAAGTAGTTGACCTGGTTATCACAGTATATGATACACAGATTTCAATGTATTTGCTGTACACACTGCATTAGCAAATACTTTTGTTTTTTGCTGAGTTCTACCAGGTGTAGATGTGCTGTTTTGTTTTTTTAAGTTGGCACGTTTCAGCTTTCATCAACTGAATACAGATTACCTTTATTACCACTTCTGTTCCATCAAGGTCATACATCACAGAGAGACCAATCCAAAGAAACTGCGTGTGCAGGCAGATGGTTTCATAGGAGAAAGTTAAAAGCGTATTTCCATCAATCCACACGAGGGAATAAAAGTAAGGTGGGGAAAACACAGATAAAAATCAAAACTAGACTCTATGGCATTTTTACACCAGGCTGTACAGCAGACTGTGGTAAGGTTTAGCTTTACAACCGCTCAAGTTGTGTAGATCCTCTGGCTCCACAGCACAACTCTAAATTTACAGCCTAATAGGGAACGTTCCTAAAATAAAATGCTGACATCACATTCCCCTTTACCGCCATCCTATTAAACTGGCACATTTCCCAGCAGCTAGTTTTTGTCTTTCAACCACATCTTTTTGTTTTGTTTTTCCTTTTTCCCCCGATATCACTGGTTAAATTGTCAAATGTATCAATGCACTTTTGGGGACATGCTTTCCCCGAATTTCTCTTTTGCAGATCTCTAACTTAATAAAGCTAACTGGATACATTTTTGATCAAACTCAAAATATTACAACATTAAGATATTTAATCCAGTGGTGGCTTTTATGCCTTGGGTCTGATCAATTTCCCATCCACAAATAAACACTTTACTCATAGTTACTTACTCTTCCATTGGCTTCTCCTTTCCACCAGCCCTGGTCTCCACCGATCTTGCTGTAGATTTTGACAATGTCGCCTTCTCGCAGTGACAGCTCTCTCATGTCTCGCGCTGCAAAGTTATACCTGGCCACTGCTGTGCTGACCACTCGAGGTGTAAACACTGAAAATTGATAACAATAGGAGTTGAGCCATAGTTAATTAACTTAATGGCACACCGCTGAATTCGTAACAAGAGTTAATATTTACTGGTATTGATGAATATTCATGTTTATGTATGAGGGTGACGGTTGTAAGACGAGGTCACACTGAACATAATGGTAATAATTAGTTGTGAAGAATGTACAGAGGCGAGATGGTCCGGTCAGTTTTCAGCGTGACACGCTGTAGCCACAAAATGACAAATGAGCAGGACAACTTGTTTCATCACTGGAGAGGAAATTGGTTTTCTTTTCTTGATTTAATGAGGAAATGTCATCCTGAGAAGAACTACAGTGTTCTTGTTAATGAAAAGAGTGCCACAGAGAAGAAGTAATGAGGTCGAGGTACATAGGCTTATTATGTAATTACAAGAGATGCGGCGCGAGAACACAAGAGAGGCAGCGGGGGAAAGGAAAGGATAAGTCGATAGTACCTGACCAAAAGGGGGCTTGGCTCTGAGAGGAGGAGAAGTTGAGGCCCTGTGGACTGAGGAAGGAGAAGTTGTAGGATGCACAGGTGGCTGCTGAGAGGAGGAGAGAGAGAGAGCGAGACAAGGGAGGAAGTAAAGCTGGAAAATGTTTGAGGTGAACACATGCAGAGGCGAAGCCAAAGAAGCAGAAAGATAAAAAGATTTTGCATTGAAGCTTTGTGTGCCTGTGCGTTCGCTTCTCATTATATTTAATCTGAACCATGAAGGTGTTGCAATTTGACTGCTTTAAGAGTGTGAATTTATTTACAAAGTCTCAAACAGAAGCAGCGTGGGAACTCTGTTGTTTTTTAGAAAGAGTCTGTTCTGTTCCTATTAGTGACATTATTATTCAGTATTACACCAACCTGCAGAATAAATTTTGGTGTTATGTTTATTTAACTGTACAATTTACATTATATTATATTAAGAAAAACATATAATGTCACTAATAGGCATTACGATGACAGCCCAACTGAAGGTTGGATTAACAAGACTTCATCATTTGTGACAACTGATCAAATGCTGCTTTCCATTTTTATGCAGACGGCACTGTTATCTATTATTTACAGTAGTGAAAGCCTTTAAATAGCTGCAGTCTGCGTTTCATGTTGTTCCCATTTAACTCAACTTAAATGGAGGAAAATCCAAGGTCATGCTATTTTCAAATTAAGAGAAAGATAAAAGCTGCTAAAAGGGCTGAAAGTGAAATTATCACAAGATATTAGTATTTAGTATTATGCATTGAATTTTTTTATTTAAAAAGGAGACAGAGAGCTAAAACTTACTTTAAGATTCTTTATTTTTTTCCCTCCAGGCAATGAATACGCTGCTCTTTATGAACACACTCAAGAAACACCTAAAGAAGCTGGACACTATACCGATGTTCCTCATGTTTTACGACCATTTTATGTTAAACTACCATCCAATTGGTTGTTTTTTGCTTTTTTTAAATATAAAGACATAGTTTTACAGCCTCTAATTTCTAATATTTTAAAGACAGAGGTGTTGATTATGCTGCTCTTTTTTCTGGAATAACCACTTTTAAAGGATTGAAAAATTAGTACTCTTGTTCACTGTGATATCTCTTGGAGATACACTGAAATTTATTTGAAATTGGACCTTTTTTGTTCTTGATGTATAATTGCACATGATCTTGATTTTGTGCTTACTCACTTGCACTTTGTGTCACTTGTGTGTATAAAATCTCTGCAGCTCTCCATGCCAGGTCACACTTTATTTGATTTTATTTTTTCTCAAACTTATTTTTCTCGAATAGATATTTACCTGAAGGTCTACAAAAAGCTAATAATACAGAGTGTGACAAAGCTCAAATAATCTCAAACAGCTTTTTTGACATTGAGATCACTCAAATGGCCTGCACAGCCACCAGATCCGTCACAGCCACCAGATCAGTCACCCTTTGGGATATTCTGGGACAGGAAATTCCCATTGTGAATATGCATTTGAGAAATCTGGAGCAACTTTGAACCAAAAAGGAGGGGCCAACCTGGAACTATGTAGCAAAGGAGTTAGCACTGGCCACTAAATCTATAGAAAACTGACTGTCTTCCTCTTATCTCTGGATTTTCCTGGACTTGGAACAGAATTCCTTTTTTGTGGAATATTAGACAGAGGGACCTAAAATTGTTACAACTTGTTGAAAGGATCAAGAAAACAGTAGTAGTAGTAAAAGGTGACATCTTATGAAGCTCCACTGAAATTCACATGAAACCTGAGCTTTTTGTTCTTAATATGTCATTACGTACGATATGGATGTCGTGGGGCCTGTGTGTCACGTGTGGTTAATGTAGGGTCCTATTATTACAGGGCCTTTACGTTACAAAGCGCCTTAAGGGGGGCTGTTGTCATGATTTGGCACTACAGAAATAAAACTGAAGTAGTTGTGCTATTTATTTTATATAAAATAAAATAATTATTTTATATAAAATAAATAGGGCAGCTATATAATATAATATATATTTTCCAGCTGCTTCAATTGTTGTTGATTTGACTTATCAGAAAATGTCTGTGTGAACTCCATAATAGAGTTTTCCAGATCAAAAAGTAAAAGTACGTGCTTGGAAACAGTCAAGGATAAAACTGAGAGGAAAACCATTATTAGCAAAAACTCCAGTTGTCTCCATCCGTGTACAACTTCAGCCAAAACAGGAGGAGAAATGATTTCACTATACTGGCCAGTTGGGTCTTTGTGAAGAGCGAACAAAGTGAGGCCAGTGTAGGACAGAAGCTAGCGCAAAGACACAGCCAGTATTCATATAGTGTAATGGCCACGAAGGGCAGCCAATTCAGTCATTCCAAAGGCTGGAGTTAGCTGACTTTCTCTTTGTCACTCTCTTTATCATTTCACACTGCTGCCCTCCTACTCTGCCCAGCTGCCCCTCTGGCCTCCATCTTTTTTTTGTCTGTATGAGTCATGAGAGTCACTGGCCTTGGGAAAAACAGAGGACAGGGGAAGACAAAGAGAGTGGGAGGAAGTGTGTCTCATTTATTTTACCCCCTTCTTACAGTATCCACAGCCACGGTGTCATGAAATTGAATTTGTACTGGACCAGTGTATTTTGGTAACAGAGAGTGAAAAAGGTATTTTCATAATCGTGCATTGAAGCAGGTAGACATTATTTGACATGCAATGCTCCTTCAGTCTCCATGCAAAAACACTGACACTAGCATTTGAAGATGTCTGTGCATGTCTCGTTAGAGCTTTGGGTGGTTCCACTCAGCTTCCAGTGGGCATTACCCAAAGCTCATTAATGGAAATGAGGTCTGTAACATGAGTCAAGTGGTAGAAAAGTTAAAGCCACAAGTCCTAGTGTGAGTCAAGTCCAAAGCCAACCACATGTGATTTTATATGGGAGAGACATGGCACTAAAAAGAATCCTGAATAGAAATATCTGAATAAATCTTGTACCTACTACTCCCTCCAAAGGGCCAACCGTCTGCTTTATAATAGCTGAAACAGAACAGACAGAAGTGATTCCAAAATCTATACAAGTTTTTTTTTCTTGGCTTAATGCATCCATAATGTAAATTAGTCTCGTATTTGTTCAAATGCCCTTGCGGGATCAACCAGATATGTTGATTCTGTTGGCACACTGGATTGAAGTGGAATTTAACTCTTGAAGGTGCTGTAGAAAACTTTATAAAACTTAAATATCATGAGGCAAAGTCACCTTTTTTTTATTAGATTTTTCTGGTTATTTATGCAGCTTTTTATTAACGTTGCGGCCGTCTCCTTATTCATTTAGAGAGGGGCTTAGTGTTAGCCTGAATAAACTCCCAGGTGCTGTTACGAAGATGCCTGCCAAGGAGTGAAACTTGCTTCTAAAAGAATGATGGATATTTTATCTGAAGATGTTCTCAAAACTTAGCTTCATAAGAACCACACTGATAAGCATCGTGGTCACTTAATCTATACTATGAAGCCACATATTAAGTTACTTGGATTAAGTTATCATTAACACGGAAGGACAAACATTAGGGTCTCTTTCACAACCGATAAACATCAAACCTTGCTCTGCCAAAACGCTTACTGACTATCATTTTATCAGCTGGCTGTACTTAGCTGTTCATTGCTCAAGGATCTAATATGATTTTCTGGTACTAACAGATTGTGTTGTTTGCAGAGTTTGGCTGCTATGCGGTATCAGAATGGCTGCAGAAGTGGAAAGTAAAGTATCGGAACAGAGAAAAATTCAAAAGGTTTACCTGGTGAGCGTGTGTTGGCCCGCGTAAGCGAGCGTTCTCTCGACTTGTAGGGGTATCTCAGTGTGGTATCTAACAACTTGAAGCTTTCTTTCAGCGAATGAGACTGATAGTACTCCACAAGCTCCTGTAAAGTAACAGGATACAAAAAGGTGAACTTTTCTGCTTTCACATTGACAACAAGCTCCTATGGGTGTTTCTGTGTTGGCAGTTCATTAAATGACCTTTTTTCTTTTTTTAAACAGTTTAATATGACTTACCAACAGACTTTCAAACTTCTTTGCCTCGGTGATGTGTATCCAGCTGTCTTTTTCAATGACTTTGATGTGCTTTACTTCATCGTTGAATCTGTAAAGAGAAATCACCAAGAACAGATATTGTTTTTCCACTGTTATCGATTTTCTTTATCCATATCTTGCATATTACTGTTGAGCCTGTATTCTCCTGTGCCCTTAACTTAATGTGTTCTGCTGCTCCACACATTTCTTTTTCAGTATATCTGATTGAATAAGATGGAAATTAAGTATTTTTTCTTAAAGTTAAGACTTCTTAACAGATTTGTTTACTTAATTATATCGAGCCTGGTCCCCACAGTCACTCATCACCTGAGTTAGACACAAATGTGTAAATGTGCATTCCCTTTCTCAACCCATCATTATATGACAACTCCAGTAAAGAACTCATGGATTTTTTTTCCTCTTGAGAATGCATCGTCTCATTGAAAAGGCACAAAAAAGGAAGGATTAAAAAAAAAAAAAAAGCAATTACTGAGTAGTAATTAGCTGGAGCTAAAAGATGCACAGAAAAAGCTGACTAGGGCTCCCTGTGAGAATATTTATTCCCCATGAGATATGGATAAAAACCTTCCTTTGACATTTTCCTCTCCTGTAAGATCTGAAATACTCACTTGATGCTGATGGCGAACCTCTCCGCCTCAGCTGTCCTCTCTCTGATAAGGTAGGTCCCACTGCAGTGGGATTTTAAAAGGTTGTCTGCCTGCTGCCGCTCCATGTTTCCTGCAAACCTACAGAAAAAACTAAATTTAGAGGTCACTGTTTTTTTTGTTTTAAGTTGTTTCATCAAATGACACTCTAAAAAGCTTTAAAAACACTTAACTTCAATCACCCATGTAGTAATTAATCTTTTGGTTAGGGTCAGCTTGCTTTCAATTGAACCACTGCTTTGAGATAACGCTACAGTTTAACATTAACAGATCTGCACTAATTACAGGATATTGACCTTGAGCTAATGGTACCTTATAGTGCACAGGCCCATTAAATGCACAGTTATGGGTCTTACCAAGGATATCCATAGTAGTCTGCATCCCTTGAGGACGACCGGCATGACTGGAAGGGCTGTCGCACATAACAGACACCGTTCATTAAAGAACACAGCACAGGACTAACTGACATGCACATGCATAAACTCGTCCACTCTCAAATCATACACACTGTAATCCGTCACAACCCACTTTACAGGTGTATGGGTGCATTACCTTTGGGTCCAAACAAGGCTTTACATAGGAACTGGGGAAAAAGCCGCTCTTTTGTGTCTGTATCAGCTTTCCCTGTAAGACAAACACAAGGTAAGTTTATTTCTAGATGTGAAACCAAACTGTGCTTACTTCAGGCAAAGAAATACTTTAGAACATCTGTGGAAAAAACGGAAAATGGGTAATATGTAGTTTAGTGTAGATACAGAAAATTTGGAAATCCTAAGACACACTGAAAAATTTGTAGGGTTTATAGAGGAAAAACTAAAACTAAGAACTATATTTCCTCCTTGCAAGTAATCATTGTTAAGTAAGACTATATTAATAAACCAATATCTGAAGCAGAGATTCTTTAGTTTATTGTGTATAATGTGAAACAGTGTTACGTTGGTGCCTCCTAGTGGTGCCAGTTTATCTGCACTGGATTAGTTTTGTCAAAATTTAAAGTAAAACATTTCTGAAAGACGATGTATTCACTTGGAGCTAAATAAATATTACACGCTATGCATCATATTTTCGGTGCTAGATGTTGTATGTACAAACTTTCCCCATCAAAGTCAGACAGAGGATGAAATGACTCCATCTTATGCCTGCAGCAATCGATTTTAAACTCTGCACACCTGCTGACATCACACTGAGAGATTAAACTGCCATGCTGTAGAGGGATAGCCTACTGTTATAGCTAAGATCAATTAATGTCATCAGAAAGTTGCCCAGAGTCACTTCAGGAAAAGCCAGCCTGATATTAGAGTCGGTGATTCAGCAGGAATGCCAACAGTTCCTGGAGCAAACAGTGTCACAGTTCCTATCATCCAGACTAATTCACTGCAGAGGATCCTCCAGGTCTGCACGTACACCTCTTCTAATGTTCAGCTAAAAGTGATTTATTTCCATTGGTGAAGGTGCAAAGAAGTCTTTAACTTCCTCTAAGATTTTAGAACAATTTTAGGCAAGCGTGGCTCAGTTTATCATTCAAACACTCTTTAAAGTATCCTGTGGTATTTTAGTGAGACGCACAAGCCAAAGCGCTATTAATTTAAACTGACAAGGTGACAAGGGGACTCTGTTTACAAGATGTGCGCTGGAATATGATGATGATTTGCAACTACAAGAAAAATTATCATTTTTTGTAGCATGGGGGGGAAAGAAAGCACTTAGGGATTTGCCTACTCCACAGCAATTTGAATTAAAGGCATTTTGGGGTATGTTACTGTACTTGTTCACCACCAGAGGGATAAGATTGATAGTGCTTTCTGCAGCCTGGTTAGAAAACATGAAAAGAAATGACGGAAATGGCTCCAAAGGCAACAAAACGCTCAGTAATTTACACATATATCTTGTTTGTTCAATCAATACAAAAAAAAACTGTGTGTGTAAAAACTAATCTACAGTTTTACAGGAGGTTGTGTGCTTAGACTTTAGCTTTGCTGATTATAAGACTCCACCAAAGTCATTGCAATTGTCCAATAAAACAAGGTTTTTGTCCAGATCTAATAATAGCGATCCTATATGCTAACTATTTCAATCTGGATTTGAACAGAGACAGAACCTTGACTTATGTTCTACACTTTCTATCTCACAGGTAAAAAAAAATTGAATTTAACATGAGAATCACTGATTCATTTCAAATCCACTATGTGAGGTGCTGTGCCAACATCAGCTGTCTGCGTAACAAGCTGCGTGTGTCAAAGTGAGGGATGGATTGATTTAAAAATGATTGACTACTCTACCTCCCACCATGTGATATCCGGGTCTCCCTTCAGAAGCTCGATAAAATCTCCTGTTTGGAAACAGAGAGGGGTCTTCCCCGGAGGCACCGGTGTGCCATGGTAGTTCTTCACTGCCACCATCTTAGGACCTGCAATAACAGTCAGTGTCCAGTACATTACCGCTTCCAGCTTCTCACTAATAAAAAAGTTCACTGACATTGAGAAAACAAAAGCTGTAGAAGAGTTGTGAAAGAAACGATCAGATTCTGCAAGTGTATCTCTACTGTACTTCTGCATACTCTACTAATGCATTTATATTGTGAAAAGGTTACTTTTTTGTAATATAATAGAGAAAGGTAAACTTTTACATATTATATTTTCATTAGCTGGATTGGAGTATTGATGCTTATTGACAGACTTATTGGCATATTTAATTTTGGGTTTGCATTAGTTACTATTCAAACTATATAAATAATGTGTATCTCTCGTTCTACTTCGGTACATGCAACCACAGTCACAGGCAAGACTCCTAGCTTGACAGTTGTCCAAATGATAGTCGACTCCCTCCACGAGGACGTAACACCACACAAGGTCATTGCAAAAAAGCCTGGCTGTTCAGTGCTGTATCAAAGCATATCAATGAAAAGATAAACCAGCCGGAAAGAGTGCCTTCACAAGAGTGTCAAGTCCACTCAAGAAGAGCTTCACAACAAGTGGACCAAGGCTGGAGTCAGAACATCAAAAGCCACCACACGTAGACCTCTTCAGGATCAAAGCTACAACTGTTAAATTCCTAAAATCATGCCACTCCTGAAACAATGGAAAACATCAGATGCATCTTACAAGTACCTGGTTTAAAGAGAAAAAGAAGTGGACTGTTGCTCAGTGCTCCAGGTTTTCTTTTGATTTCAATTAGAATCAAGGTTCTAGAGTTTGGGTGAAGGATGGAGAGGCACACAATCAAAAGTGTTTGTGGAAACCTCATGCTAGAATTCAATCTTTGATTATTTAGGGTGCCATGCCATCTGCTGGTGTTGATGGTTGCTGCTCTACTCTGTACTATCACGTAAAAATTCAATGCAACCACCTACTAGAGCGCTTCAGGTTTCCACCTGACAAAAAGTATGGAGCATATTTCCTTTTTCACCAGGAACTAGGAACTCCCACCGCACCAAAGCTAGTATTTATTGGTTTGCTGACTGTGATAATGCTGGGTTTGACTACCCAGGCAACTGACGTGACCTGAAACCCCACAGAGAATCTCATCTTCCTCAATCAACAAACTGAGGAAGATGAGACACCTGAAGCCAACTATTAAAGGAATCTGGGCTTCCCTAACAGCTAAGCAGTGACACAACCTGATCACCACCAGACTACGCCAGACTGATGTAGCAATTCATGGTAAAAAAAGCCTCAACCAAGTGCTACCTTAACAGAAACTGTTCATTTCTGTATTATATGTAGTTTTTTTGATTGATCACAAATAATTTAATAATTTCAGATGCTGGAATTCTGATAATCTTTTAAAGCCACAAAAAAATCTGTATTAAACTATAATCTAGCTCGAAATAGTTCACTTGTGATGTGAACATGTGATGATACAGAATACATTAAAGTTTACCTTTTTAAATCCAATTATAGGAAAACAAAATAAAACCTTTTCACAAAATTCAAATTTTTTTAGAGGGATTAGTATAGGGTTAGTATTGTTGCTGCAATGGCGCTATCCACTAGATGGCAATAGAGAGCCGTGCTATTTAAGCGCAGCTACAGCCAAAACAAAGTTGACAGCTGACAGAATATTCAAATGTTAGCTCTTACCAGGTGATAATCCAGGGTCCTACACAACAGAGACAAATATCTGATTATTGATATTGTTAATAAGTAAGCAAAAAACATCACCTTTTATCATTTTGTGGTAATTATTCAACAAAGAAAGATGGTGACAATTAGAGAAAGCTGTTGTATATTGAGTGAAAAAGAAACTACTCACCAAGTCAAGAGGACCTGAAAAGAGGAAATATTGAAGATTGTCAAAGAAGATTCACAAGAAAATATTTCACCAAGTGGATCCATCAGCACTTGACATCAGCATGCCAAAATGTGCAGCATAGCTTCATGCAGACCATTTTTTTTAAGCTGACTAACAGCAATGTAGTATGACTGGTTTCCTGCGAGCGTTAAACAGCAGATAAAACTGAAAGCATCAAACTATATTGTTACAGTCCTGCTCTGTGGTCCTTATTATACACACACTAACTTATTTTAAGAATTTATTTGATTAATTATGACCTTCGACTATCAAAGAACGTGATTGGTTCATACTGAACCTCACTCAGCAGTTATTAAATTGGCTCAAATTTGAGAAAATAGGCCACAATGATTTTCTGAATTCATGTTGAGTAAATATGTTGTCAGATACTGCTGCTAAATCCACTGACACAATAAAAAAGCCTGCCTCCCTTTTACTGCTGCATAAAGAGGCCTACAAGCAGGACAGGGGTCATCAAATTACAGCAGTCATCATTATTGCCCTGCATGTCCGTGACATATGTCACACAGTTTTTATTTATCTATTTTTATCATTTGCTCACTACTTGACCCTCACAAAGTCATCTGAATAACATCATCTATTAAAGAGGAAATACCTACTTATTTTACAAATGGTGATCACTTCTAGACACTCTTTGTGAGCTCCTGTTCCACAGCGAGAGCAGTAGTAGCCCTGATAGAAGATGCCCCTTGAGGACAGGCACGCACACACACACACACACACACACACACACACAGAGAAACATGCACTTTAGTAATGCAAACAGGAAGTGGCTGAGACACAAATTAACCTCCTGTAAGAACAACACACAAGGGGACCTGCTGCTTGTTCCTATAATTGTTCCAACTGCGAATCCACATCCTCCATCATTCCCGTTCTGTAATTCTTTAAAAATCACCAAATCAACTGGCTCAGTTTAAACCGTGTACTCCTGAAGTTTATTTGTTACGGGTACTGTAACACTGCATGCATCGCACGCTGCCAAGTTGAATAGTAAGTGCCATAAATCACGATGGGATCTGCTGGGACTGCAGCAGTAATTAGCATCTAGCAGGAAGAGAGAACGCTGGTCCCTGCTGCCATCGGCTCTGTGAATTTAGGTCAGCAAAGCCACGCAATTTGTGGGTCAATACACAGAGTGGGGTTTAGCCGGCTGACTCTAATAGAGGTGAAAGTGGTGATTCAGTGACACGGGCTATCCCACTGCAGACGAGCAGCATTCTCACATGAGAGAAGGTGTACTCAGGAACACTGTGGGTGGTGCGGGGCCGGGAAATGTTTAAAAATAACATCCGTCAGCCGCAGTCACACTTACTAGAATATTTTCCAAGGAATGCTCTCACACTAATGACGGGTTATGCGAGCCAAAAACATATTCCCTCTGTGATTTAAGTCTGTTTGTTTGTTCACTACCAAATGCTACTTAAATTATTTATTTTTATATTTGTACTGCTGTAGTGTATACTCCACTCCAAGGGTATTTTTTTTCTCCTCTGTTTGTGGTGTACAGAGTCAAAATTACAAAAATTGTGTTGTTGTCCAAATACTTACCTAACTGTAATAACTTTTGTGTGCTTTTATGAAAAAGTGAAGCCAACGTGGGAGTAGTTGCAAAAGGTCTCCTGGCAGCAGTGCTTCTTTGCCAAAAAGACCATCAGCTCCCTGGTTTTGTGTTCTCAGTAAACACTTCCCTGATCATTTTATTGGGCTCAGTTGCTATTTTCATGACACTCTGAATAAAACATTAAGTCTATTTTGTAAATTATAAGTCAGGGAATCAGAGAGGAGGATTATCCAGGATGCTCGTTGGTTAACAAACTGTCAATCACAAGTGATTAGCCACAGAATCTCCTCTGTTTCTGCTCATCTGCTGACACATGTGGTTTCAAAACACCAAGATGGTGACAGTGAAAACATTGAACTTCCTTTTTTGTGCATCATAATTTATTAATAATTCTACCGTTGCATATTTTGGACATACAGTGTCTCTGCTTCATAAAGTTTGTCTGGATAAGTAACACATAAAAATGCTGTTGCTACCAAATGCTGACATAACAGTTACTAGAGAGTCTGGAATAAGGATGTATTCGGTGTGCATTAGTAACGGCACTAAAGATACCAGCGCTGGGGTTGTCAGGGTCATTACCTCAAGAGCATCTTGCAGGCTCGACAGTTGGTATTCTTATCAAATGTGTGCATTTCAAAGTTGTGCTGATTAGCTGTGGCTCTCTCTGGCTTGATGTTGGACCTAGATAAGTAAATAATATGGAATTAAATAAACCAGTTAAACTGAGGATACCTAGGATTCTTTATTTTTTCCCATGCTACTGAAAAATAACATGGCAAAGACAATTAGTCTCACATAAAATACATTTTATCCAACTAGTCATACTCACATGGCCATATCAAATTGCTCCATCCACTTCCTCTTTGTTTCCTCAGTTTTGCAAAAGAACTGGAAGCCCTGCTTCCCTTGCAGATGGATCAGGTAGAAACCATAAGACCACTGGTGAGAAAAAGTGAGTGTTGAACAGATGGCAGAAAAAGGTTTGTGGATGGCAGACCGAGATAAGAAAGAGGCATGTGATATCAGCAGTTCCAACAAATATATGGTCAAATCAAGTCAGACCTAAAAGATCATCAACATGCTTTAGCAATTAATTGGATAAGACGCTGGTCACAGACTCAGACTGTGCATATGCAATCAAGGTATTACATCCCAAAAATCACCACAGCCAAAACAAAAACAAAAAAAAAAAGCCACTATGAGAAGATGTGTTAAATAAGGGGATCATTTGAGCTTACCATTTTTCCACAGGACTGGTAAGCATGCAAAAAGAAAGACACCAGAGAAAGACCCAGTTACACATGCAAACATGTACGCACGCATGCAGATCCAAAAACAAAAAAGCCATGTTAGACCGGATGCCCAGTGCACTGCAGAACGTTTTCATGAATCCTAAATGATCTTCATTGCATTTACATGATTTTACAAGCACGAATGAACACAATGCACGTTTGACACAACAGTGTATTACCCCATCTGAAATCACATCAGAAATTACCATCAGCAAGCTCCTTCAGCTCAAGGGCAACATTTGTAATGATTACACATGCCGCTTCATCGCCTACACCGGCCGGGCCACCTTTACAAAGATCTCACTGACGAAATTGCTCTGTCTCATTTCAAACCGTGATGTTCTTACCTTTTTCATGTCTCTGTTGTTCGTCGGGTCATCCGACATTTTATGATTTTGCAGCTCAATAATCTCTTTGAGCTCATAGCTATAGCCTTTCCTCTTGCAGACAATGACCACTTTATCAAAGAGGAATATATACCTGAAGACAATCATACATTTTTATTGAATATTGGCAGCGATAAAATGTTGCTAAAGGTTATTATAGTTTAGTTTTACTATAGAACTTGGACTCACCGGTCCTGTTTTGTTCGGTTCGTAGAGGAGCACACCTTCAGTTCTCCATCTATCTTTGGCCTCCCGTACTCCTCCAGCTTCACCTGCTGCTTAGGTTGCAAAAAACAAACAAACAAACAAACATAAAAAGCAGCCTACTAAACCAATGGATTCTGCAATTTTAATAAATAATTTTGCTAGACTTTTAATTTCAGAGAGAATTAATATCCACGATAAACGATGATTCTCCATCCTCCCTTTGACTTTTTTCCAAAGTCATACCCAGTGGCTACATGTATAAATTATTCAGAGCACTTTTACTGTACGTATTACTGTATATGTGGCACATGTACAAACCAAAGCTGAATACTGACTTGGCATATCAGCAAGGAACAACAAAAGAAGTTGTGATAGAGAGATAGAAAAACGAGAAAAAAGGTTGGTGCTACACAAAATATTAAAGTGAGCACTTTGCAGTTTACATAAATGAGTTATTAAGGGAATTATCATGGCTGAGGATCATGGAAGCACTTTGAAAGATAGAGGTGTTCTGAGGAGAGACTAATCATTCTGTCGAACTTCAAAAACACCTGTTGATAACATGCCAGTGCGTTGGCATGTATATATTAAAGAACAACCTTTAAAATGTTCTTAGCTGCTCAAAAGATAACAAGTGCAAGGAAAGTGTGGAGTACTTACAAGATTTTCTATTGAACTTTGGAATTCGCTGATTTTTTTCAGTGTCTCATTGTCTCTCTTGACTTCATTGATGTACATGGCCAGGTCCTGGAAGAGCCAGACATTCTTTCAGGCATCTGCTATTTCAAGCTGTATTTACAACACTTGAGCAACACAGTGGCTGTATGTAATTATGTAGCTTTAGCTAAGAGGGTGATTCTGCAAGATTTTTAAACACACACCTGCATAGCCTCCAGAGCCTCCTTCAGTTGTTGTCTCTCGGGTCGGTCAGTTGAGTGACTCAAAAGTTCCTACGGAGAGATTATTTTGTTAGAAAAATGTTCTTGTACTTTGAGAAACTGTAAAAACCAAACTCCAATGGTGTGTCTGTTTTTCTTGGCAAAATTTGACAACTGCACACTGCAGATCTGAAATCATTAACAACACATTAAAAAGTACACTTTAAAACTTGAGTGCAAGCAGAGAGAGCAACCAGACAAGTTCAGCTTGTTTTTTGCTTTACTAGCCCCTCCCCCTCCCCCAGCCCCAGATTTCTGTTTTGTTTTGTTTTTTTAATGCAAAGAACTAAGATAATAATGTACACAATTAGACTGCATTGCAATTTTGTTTTAGAGCTGCTTTCGAGCTGTGTACAATACAATCTTATGACTGGTTCAGATTTTGAATTCTGTCTGATTATTATCTAAAAAAAAAATAATCAAAACTAAGCCTGAGGCAGTAAAGTTTCTGCCAAATGCATTTTTCTGCATCTAACATCAACAATTTTAACTTGCCTTTCTGGCCAGTATTACTCCAGTTTAACAAGTTACTTTGTTTCTTTGGTGTCTTTAAGTTAATCAAATGTGAAAGGTAAATATGCAAGTTTTCTTGCTTGCACTTAGGGGTAAAGATTTGCCTGTGGTTTGGTAGGCTGGTCAGCATATATGCTGGTTAGCTTGATAAAGTAGAGATTGGTCAAAGTTATGTTGTAAAACAACCTGCTACTCATAAAGGGGTTTACTGTTCAGGTGCCAGGAAATAACACCGTATTTAATAGTGACCTCCACATTAATGCCAGCAGAGCTTGGTGACCTCTGAACACTAATCATTCGATCATGTATTGCTAAATGTTTGTGTAATTTTTTCCCAAAAGTTTACTGAATTTTAAACAAGAATATGATGACGTGAAGACTGCAGCGACACTTAAAGTATTAGGAAACAACTTTATTATGTGACCAACTGGTTCTGGCTGATTGGTTAATTGGGTAAGCCACAGCCCAAACAGGTTCTGGACTGAATCACTACAGATTAATCGTTTTGAGTAATTCAATCTCAAAATTACACAGAAAAATGCCAATAGTAAATATAAAAATAAAGTAAGTACAGGAACTTTTTAAACAAAAACACAAATATGAGTATGGCAATCTGTGCAGAAGGGAAACCCAGAAAGATTCAGCGTTTATTAATGGCATGGCAACTTGCCTTTACAGCAGCCCCTGTTACTGCTCCATAACCCAGTGTGAAACAAGGCAGTCAGTTAGTTTTCATATTTAAATTTTTTTTTAAGTTTCTGTTTATTTCATTAAGCACTACAGTGATGTTTTCATGGTAGATTTCACTGCTGGCAGGTACCAGCATGGAGTTAAAAAGAAGTAAACCATCTCTGTTTGAGGTTAGCAGTATGAAGAGACATTAGCTGCTAGCTGCATAACCAACAATAATTTCCAAACTATCAGCAACTGCTAGGATTACTTAATGTGCATGTGAGGTTGTGGGAAAATAAAAGAATAAAACACTGTAAGCATAAGGTGAAAAACAAGTCCGGATGTAAATTAGGAAATAACCATAGTACTTCATTTAACCCATACTAACATATCCATAACATAACCATGGATCATCCGTCTGATATTTTGAAGCTATTATGCTATTACACGGACGAGATCCCCTGTTTTTAGGTCTTCCAATTTCAAACTAATAATGAGCTTCAATATACGGGGCATTTTCCTCACTGGCTTTTCATGCCTACTTCAAATATTATCAGCAAGTGCTTGACAAACAAAACCAAGAAAAAAGTGCTTTCATCTGGGCTCCACCTGTAACTTGTATTATCTAAGTAAGCTTCTGCTCCTTTAAAGAAAGAGGTGCATTACATTTGCAAAAGAAAAACAGTTGTACTGCAAAACATATACAGCAAAATGTATAGCACAAGATCATGATTTAAGTTTTCTGAGAATTGTTGAATTTGCTCTATGAAGTTCAACTATCATAAAAGAATGAAGAAAAGAGCCATGCACAGTATCATCAAATAGGGTTCACACTCTTGAGATGATATCTATAGAACAACAACTGTACATGTACCCTTCAGCAGGACTGAACACGCACATACCCAAACCAAAACAAGCCTTGTCAGTCTGACATGCCCTGAGGCCTCAGTGTGCAGCAGTGTTTTACTGCAAAGCTGCAGGAAGCAGTGAAATGGGGTGTATTTAATCTGATTATTGCACGCTTGATTTGACCTCAGTGGCTCAGTGCCACTCCTGCAGGGGTTCAATTCCAACTAATACAGATGCCACGGCGCTCTCTGTGTGGACCTACAATCATAGCACCTGACATTTTTGAATTAAAGGACACAGAAAACTCAACATAAACAATTAGTGAATAATGTGCAAAGGCAGACACATCAATGAGGTGTATTAAGTTAAAGTCCACAAAGCAATATGTGTTGCCTCACTGACACTTCAAATAACAGCTTTTTAAAAAGGCAGAAAAGAGTTTGTAAAATAGGTTAATGTGACAAGGGTACAAGTCTGGAAAATCATAACAACACTGACCAAATCCAGACAGCTGACATTGCCATTAGACACGGAATAAAAGAGAGAGGTGTTATGCATCATTTGAAATCAGAGCAGAGATGAACCATAGCCTCCCTGACGAAGTCTCAAGAAGAAAATCTTACAGTGAGGATCTGCTTTTCGGGATGGAAAGCTATTAACTTTCTGAAATATATACAGCACAAATCATTGAACTCTGAGTGCCAAAAATGTCACATACAAAGTTCTTTGAAGTGGGTGCAGCATATACTGTATTTCAAGGATTTAGCAGCGTCTGAAGCACGTGCTGATGAGTGGTGATTTGACTTCGAGTTAGACTGTGATGCCAGATTTGGTCAAATCAAAAGAAAACTGCGTATTCCTTATTTAGCTTAGCTTAAGTGTAGAGTCAATTGCGCCGAGAGTGAAAGAAACAACATGTTTACTGAAATCAGAAAACACCTTTTTCATGTCTCTGTTGTTCGTCAGGTCATCTGACATTTTATGATTTCTTATGGAAGAGACGCATCTTTTCCCTGCAGAAGACGGGGTTTTTGCACCTCAAACTATATCTGAAAGTTAGCAACATACACTGGCTGTGCCACAGAGACATAGCAGCACAGATGTTTGAGATAAACTTTTGAAAGGTAAGAAGTTAAAAATAAAGCACGTGTGTATGATATCACACGGCTATTTAGCCAAAATCTTAATTACATTTGAATGAAACTGTGTAAACACATAAACAGGTTTTACAGATTTGGATTTTACCTTTAGTAGGAGGTGATACTTCAGCACCCTCTGCATGGGAACTACCAAAAGATCTTGGAGCTTGAACTTTCCTTCTTGCACTTTCATTGTACATTCCTGTGGAAGAGTGACACAAGCAGTGGCACAGTTATTACATGTTGCATAATACAGCATTGTAGATTTCCTACAAACAAGTATTCATTTGTTGTTTAAGAATACACTGTTGTGTTGCTGCTGTTGCTTCCACACATTCACAGGGCACTCCTTTAGCAATGAGGCCGGTTTATTCTTTCAGGGCACAAAAACTCTGGTTGTGCCAGCTATTTGTGACACAATTACGCAGCATACTGAGAGAGGACATCCTCTGACAAATGAGTGCATATCCCTAAATTCTCTCTCGGCTCCATAAGAAGCGCTCTTTTGTTAGTATTATCCTATAAGGTTCCCTCACAGTGGTGTCTGTGTACATCTTTGTTCACTCGGTTTCTTTAAGTGTGCAATATCAGCAAAGCTTATCCTGTTTTACAAACAGTACTTTTCTATACTGAGCCAATAACAGGCTGACTTAGCCTTTTACAAAGCTCCTTTATTTTGAATGGGGTATCTCAGTTACTACTACCCTGTGTAGCTATATGTATTGCCTTTTGTGCTCATCAGCTCTAGGGCCCACTTGTCCTCCCATTCTAACTGCAAATGTGCTTTAATCCCGCTCTATCCTGCATTCCTTTTCTAAGGATTTTCAGTCTGTATAACATCACAAAATCATAGCAGCATACTGAGGGGGAGATCTTGTTGTATACATAGATTCTAAAAATGTCCCAGATTTACACAGTAAAGGTTCCTTTTCTCTTGTTTCATCTTTTCCTGTGCACAAGGAAATTTAACAATACAACCAAGATCCACCACAACCCCTGTTTGGTTAATATTCCATTTTGTTCAGTATAACAAAATGTTCTGAATTTTTTAAGGCTCTAGGGGCAAATATGCAAATTACATCTGACTTCATTATAGGTTCTGCCTAACAAAGGCAAAGCTTGGCCCCACTGATGAATTTATTTAAGTCATTATTTAGTCATTGTCATTGTTTATTCAACAGTAAATTTTACTTTTGAGTTGGGCTTTGATTGAAACGGCCATATTCTAAAGCAGCTTATTTTGTTGGTACAACTCTTCAGAGCATGTACTGCAAGTCTGGATTGATATAAAATTTTAGATTTGAGTATACTTTCTAAAAGAAATACTGCATCACTTTGTCCTTTTTCTGTAGTTGGCACACAATGAATTTGGTAGTAATGCAATACACCGAAATATGTTTCTCTCCTCCTGTGGTGTTTGCACATGGTGCATGGGCAAAACACTAGCTAGAATGCCATATCAAAACAGGTGGACAAATATCCAGCTGCTGTAATATAATAATGTATCTCCACACACTGGTGCCAGGAGTCAGCAGGAACATTTAACAATTTGTAAATATAATTTTGCTGACTATCACACTCTGGAACCCGGTGAGCTTTTTTGACATGGTGCATTAACCTGTGGAAGCAGCCATTAGAAGACAGGCACATTGTGGTCATAAATGGATGGACATGATCAGCAAAAATACTCAGGTAGGCTGTGTTTTTTTTTTAAATGACACTCAATTGGTACTGTAAGGGGTCCAAAGTGTGCCAAGAAAATGTTCCCCACACCATTAGTCCACCACCACTAGCCTTAGCTGTTGGCACAAACAGGATAAATCCATGCCATCTTCTTTTTGAAGCGAAATTCTGATCCTGTCATTAAAGTGTCACAGCAGAAATCCAGACTCACCAGAGCGGCACATGGTGTGGTCATCTGATTTAAGGTTGGTCACATTTTGGATTCAGAGAAGATGTTGCATACCTTGGTTGTAACATGCTTTTTTCAGTTACTGTTGCCTTATTATCAGCTAGAAAACAATCTGGCCATGATCTCTGCCCTCTGGCATGAAGAAGGTATGTTCACCCTGACAAATGCTACTCACCACATATTTTTACTTTTTTGTGTCATTGTCTGCAAACTTTGGAGATGGATGAGTGTTAAAATCCTAGCAGAGCATCAGTTTTTAAAATACTCAGACCAGATAATTTGGTACAAATACAACACCTTCTGAGTACGACATTCATTTTAAACGTGTGTAGAGATGAATGTTACCTCTACTTTAATCCTGACATCTTCCCGTGTGGCTATTAGCTCGTCCAGTTTCTTCTGGGCATTCTCCATGTGGCTGCAGTACTGACCATAGATCAGCAACCTGGGGATGTGAAAAACTAATTAATCCAGTTACTCTGTTACAACTCATCCTCATTAAGGAATCCACAGAAGAAATATGAGGAGACTGTATAAAAATGTTTACAGCTGATACTCTCAAAAGAAATAGTACAAGGATACAAACATTTACAAGTCCCAGATAATCTTGAATACAACAAAAGCAACTTTTTGAAATGTTAGGCTTTCTTATTAAAGCTTTTTTATTTTTAAGATCATGACTACATCCACTCACAAATGTCCCACTGTGCCCTTAGAAATGCTGGAGGTCCAAATAATAAAACATTAATGTTTTTAGGAGACAGTTGAGATTATAATTTGCATATTTTTGCTCGTCCTCGGTGAGGAAAAGAGCAAGTGGGCCCATAAACCTCCGTGTGGTGTTTGCAGTCTAAAAATAAGAATTAATAAGGACTAATAAGTCTTGTGTTAACATCTAAAATTACGAGATTTATAATATCTTTGTTAAAACACAGGTAAAAAATGTCTACAATTAGCTGTAAAGTAGAATCTTTTGGTAGTATATGGACCTTCAGGCAACCTATTCATTTTAAGTTTATTAATATAATTTGGGAAGTCACGTCAAGAGTCATTTAACACTAACGGGTACAGATAAATGCATGTGTGAATAAATGTATTATAATTAATGTATTATAATTAAAAATATATTCACATCCAAGGGAAATATTTGAAGGGGTGGCATGCTCTTGCCAATAAGCTATAATCATAGCGTACTAATGAAAGTCAGGGCTTTATATCAGTTGGTTTGCAGAGCTCCTCTTATCAGTGTGTGAGGGGAAAACAATCTTTTAATTTTGAGTAGTGAGGATATGAGAGCTGAGTTCATTAGGTATTACAATGGGACACTGACATAGATCTACGGGTTCAGCTGGGAGGGAGTTCAAAGTCATCTTGCCTGGAGGATGCCACCGCACGTGGCAAACATTCTTTGCACTTACTCAGTCAAAGTAGGGCACTGGCACAGGCTGGTATAGTGCAACCCACCCCCACAGCTTGGTAGAGTTGGCACATAGGCCTCTTAATCTGAATCTTAAGCGAGCGAGGCGGTGTAGAGAGCTGGCACCCTGAAGTCTAATCAAGCCTCTGATAGCTTTGAATAACAGGCACTAAAAAC